TTCATATCCTGTGCCCATTTTTCAATTGGATTATTCTCCTTTATCTTGTTGTGGTGCTCGAGTATTTTATAAATTCTAGATATAAGTCCCTTGTCTGACAAGTCATTACCAAAAACTTTTTCCCAGTCTGTACCAGTAGTGTTTTTTGAGCGATCTGTGTATAGTGACAGGTATATTTTTGCATCTGATTTTTATGAATCTGACTGCGTGAGTGAAACAGAATGGACGATATATCAGGACTGGCACAACGGATGAATAAACAGTTTGGCCAAAGCCTTGAATTGGATGGAATCATTTCTCGACAAGCTATTCCAGAGACATGCTTAAATAGAATGTGATTTACAAGGAAGTGATGAGGAACAAGGCATTCCTCTTGGCTATTTAGAGAAACTTCACCAGAAGCATGAAAGCTGGCTACTGCACAGAACATTGAAAACGAACTTTCGGAATTTAAAAGAGACACCTATGCTAACATTGGATGTTAATGCAGACTTTAAAGACAAACATAAAAATCGGGTTGAAAAGGTCAAAGAATTTTTGAGTGCTTTGTGATCTTGCTGAAGACTACAGACCTGCAGTTATTCCCAGCCCCTTGAGTTTTGTGAACTTTGTATTTGCGTATGTATACGTCTCTTAAAAAATGCAAGTTTTCAACCATTTTTACTGCAAGAAAATGACTACTTTTTTAAGGTGAATCCTTTGTAAAAGGTTACTGTTAGTTACTTAACTGGAAGCTTTATGTTAGATAGCAAAATGTGACACTATAAAAAGTGAAATTTAAAAACTGCCTAGAATAAGGACTCTGAAATTTTAAATGTTTTTCATCAAATGCTTTCATTCTAACCTAGTTTATATTGAAGATAAAACTAGAGTAGTTTTAATATTTAATCACTTCATTCGTATTTATTGATGTATCTATGACACATTAATATTAATAAAGTATAAAATTTAACCAAAAACTTATCTCATTATTGCTAACACAGTTTCAACAACAACAAAAAAAGTGCAAAGCAGAAAATAATTCAGTCTTTCACAAGAGTAAAATAAGGAAACCCTAAGCCAGAAAATTTTCCAGTGGCCTCTCAGGGTCACAGTGAGCCAGCACAAGGCTGAGGTGCAATACGAGGACCCACAGACCAAGGAGCTACTGGCCCACTTTCTGCGTGCAGACCACCTGCCAGTGCTGACCTTTCCTTTTCATGGGCTCACACGGCCTGTGATCCTTTGAGACTCACTGTCCATGTGGCGTTGTTTCTGACATCTATCCATGTCGTAGCGAGTGTCTGTCTTCTCTTTTCATTGCCAAATAAAATTCCACTGTGTGATACACATTGTGGCTTGGGCTGGTTCTGCTGTTTTGCTATCATGAGGTAGCTGCTGTGGCATTTGTATGGGCACCTACATCTTCCAGTTCTCTAGGACCAGCTTCTAGGAGTGGGACGGCAGATGGCAACTATGTGTTCACCCTTTTTAGACCCTGCCAGATTGCTTTTCAAAACTCTGCACCATTGTCTGCTCCCAGCATTGCTGGGTGCCGTCCAGTCTGCTATGACTCACAGCAATCCCATAAACAGCCGATCGGAGCCCTGTCCCACCCTGCGCCGTCCTCTGACACACTTGAGCCCGTTACTGCTGTCAGTGTCAATCCATCTTGTTCTCTTTGGTTGACCCTCAAACTTTCAAGCATATGTACCACTCCAAAAACTGACCTCTCCTCACTAAATGCCCAGAGTATTAGAGATGGAGTTTCACCAGCCTTGCCTCTGAAAAGCACCCTGGTTTCCTTTTCTCGAGGACAGAACTGTTAGTTTTGTCAAGGGACATTCAATACTCTTCTCCAGCACCACAACACAAAGGCATAGATTCTTCCATGTCTTCTGTCATGCTTAGTCATTGTCCGACTTTCAGATGCATCACAAGCAATTGAGAAGACCATGGTTTGGATCAGGTGCACCTTCATCTTTAACTTGACATCATTACTCTTTAGCACTC